ATGATGGTGGTGATGGTTGTGATGGTGGTTGTGATGATGGTGATGGTGATGATGGTTGTGATGGTGATGGTGACGATGGTGGTGATGGTTGTGATGGTGGTCGTGATGATGGTGATGGTGGTGATGGTTGTGATGGTGGTGATGGTTGTGATGGTGGTGATGGTGATGATGGTTGTGATGGTGGTGGTGATGGTGGTGGTGGTGATGATGATAGTGATGGTTGTGATGGTGGTGGTCATGTTGGTGGTGATGGTGATGATGGTGATGATGGTTGTGATGGTGATGATGGTTGTGATGATGGTGATGATGGTGGTGATGGTGATGATGGTTGTGATGATGGTGATGATGGTGGTGATGTTGGTGGTGATGGTGGTGGTGATGGTGATGATGGTTGTGATGATGGTGATGATGGTGGTGATGTTGGTGGTGATGGTGATGATGGTTGTGGTGATGGTGATGATGGTGGTGATGGTGATGATGGTTGTGATGATGGTGATGATGGTGGTGATGGTGATGATGGTGATGATGGTGGTGATGGTGATGATGGTTGTGATGATGGTGATGATGGTGGTGATGTTGGTGGTGATGGTGATGATGGTTGTGGTGATGGTGATGATGGTGGTGATGGTGATGATGGTTGTGATGATGGTGATGATGGTGGTGATGATGGTGGTGATGGTGGTGGTGATGATGATGGTAGTGATGGTGGTGATGGTGATGATGATGGTGATGATGATGGTGGTGATGGTGGTGGTGATGGTGATGATGATGGTAGTGATGGTGGTGATGGTGGTGGTGATGGTGATGATGATGATGGTGATGATGGTTGGTGGTGGTTGTGATGATGGTTGTGATGGTGGTGGTGATGGTGATGATGGTTGTGATGGTGGTTGTGATGATGCTTGTGATGATGGTGGTGATGGTTGTGGTGATGGTGGTGATGGTTGTGATGGTGGTTGTGATGATGGTTGTGATGGTGGTGGTTGTGATGGTGGTGATGGTGATGATGGTTGTGATGGTGGTGGTGATGTGGTGATGGTGGTGATGATGGTGGTGATGATGTTGGTGGTGGTGATGATGGTGGTGGTGATGATGGTGGTGGTGGTGGTGATGGTTGTGATGGTGGTGATGATCGTTGTGATGGTGGTGGTGATGATGGTTGTGATGGTGGTGGTGATGATGGTTGTGATGGTGGTGGTGATGATGGTTGTGATGGTGGTGGTGATGATGGTTGTGATGGTGGTGATAATGGTTGTGATGGTGATGATGGTTGTGATGGTGGTGATGGTGGTGGTGATGGTGATGATGGTTGTGGTGGTGGTGATGGTGATGATGGTGGTGATGGTGATGATAGTGATGGTGGTGATGGTTGTGATGGTGGTGGTTATGTTGGTGATGATGGTGGTGATGGTTGTGATGGTGGTTGTGATGATGGTGATGGTGATGATGGTTGTGATGGTGATGGTGACGATGGTGGTGATGGTTGTGATGGTGGTCGTGATGATGGTGATGGTGGTGATGGTTGTGATGGTGGTGATGGTTGTGATGGTGGTGATGGTGATGATGGTTGTGATGGTGGTGGTGATGGTGGTGGTGGTGATGATGATAGTGATGGTTGTGATGGTGGTGGTCATGTTGGTGGTGATGGTGATGATGGTGATGATGGTTGTGATGGTGATGATGGTTGTGATGATGGTGATGATGGTGGTGATGGTGATGATGGTTGTGATGATGGTGATGATGGTGGTGATGTTGGTGGTGATGGTGGTGGTGATGGTGATGATGGTTGTGATGATGGTGATGATGGTGGTGATGTTGGTGGTGATGGTGATGATGGTTGTGGTGATGGTGATGATGGTGGTGATGGTGATGATGGTTGTGATGATGGTGATGATGGTGGTGATGGTGATGATGGTGATGATGGTGGTGATGGTGATGATGGTTGTGATGATGGTGATGATGGTGGTGATGTTGGTGGTGATGGTGATGATGGTTGTGGTGATGGTGATGATGGTGGTGATGGTGATGATGGTTGTGATGATGGTGATGATGGTGGTGATGATGGTGGTGATGGTGGTGGTGATGATGATGGTAGTGATGGTGGTGATGGTGATGATGATGGTGATGATGATGGTGGTGATGGTGGTGGTGATGGTGATGATGATGGTAGTGATGGTGGTGATGGTGGTGGTGATGGTGATGATGATGATGGTGATGATGGTGGTGGTGATGGTGATGATGGTCGTTGTCACAACGTTTTGGGGGGGGGGGGGGGGGGTTCTGGGGTGGAGCCTCTTCGTCGACGCGCCCTGCACCATACGTAGTCAACGCACGCTGGTCGGTGGTGCGGTGGGAATGACAACAAACTACACAACAACAACAACATATAAAGGTTTTTGGGTTAGATCGCGTTATTTATAAATGTGTCGTAACCCTCAACCACCCAACACGGCCCAATCAGCAAAAAAAGTGTCACGTTGACAAAAGACAAAATAGTTCACTACTTTAGCCCCGCACCGGTGATGTTGTTGAAGAAGAGTGAATTCACAACATTTACAGCTTGAGTAGTACTGTGACGTTTCGCTGGTAATTACAACAAACTAAACAACAACAACAAACTACATCATCTTTGGCTCTTTCGGTAAAGTCACCACCACGTAGAATGAGATCAAAATAATAAAATAACAAAATGAAATTCGCACGACGTTACCTAAATCACGGGTTTCCCATTTTCGTTACGCTTGCGTAGTGGCCGAAACGTCGTGAGAATTGTATTGTGTTATTTTATTATTTTATTCTCATTCTACGTGGTGGTGACTTTACCGAAAGAACCAAAGAAGATGAATCCTTGCAGTCACGAAAGCTTTAAATCGAAAGAAACTACACAACAACAAACTACACAACAACAAACTACACAACAACAAACTACACAACAACAAACTACACAACAACAAACTACACAACAACAAACTACACAACAACAAACTACACAACAACAAACTACACAACAACAAACTACACAACAACAAACTACACAACAACAAACCACACAACAACAAACCACACAACAACAAACCACACAACAACAAACCACACAACAACAAACTACACAACAACAAACCACACAACAACAAACTACACAACAACAAACCACACAACAATAGGCAGCAGCAGCAGCTCTAAAGACATGAGTTTGTTGATGTGACTGTTGTTGTTGTCGATGTTGTTTCTAGTGTTGTTGTTATAACGTGATTGTTGTTAATGTTGTGTTGTTGGTGGCGTGATTGTTGACGTGATTGTTATCGATGTTCATGTTGCTGATGATGATGCTGTTGATGATAATGTTGATGATGATGATGTTGTTGATGATAATGTTGTTGTCAACGGTGTGATTGTTGTTGTCGATGCTGTTGTTGATGATGATGTTGTTGATGATGTTGTTGTCAATGGTGTGATTGTTGTTGTTGAGGATAATGATGATGTTGCTGATGATGATGTTGTTGTTAACGGTGTGATTGTTGTTGTACGGTGTTATTGTTGTTGTTGCTGTTGTTGAAGTTGATGATGTTGTTGATGATGATGTTTTTGTCAACGGTGTGATTGTTGTTGTCAACGGTGTTATTGTTGTTGCTGTTGTTGAGGATGATGATGATGTTGTTGTCAACGGTGTGATTGTTGTTGTTGATAATGATGTTGTTGTCAATGGTGTGATTGTTATTGTTGAGGATGATGATGATGATGTTGTTGATGATGATGTTGTTGTCAACAGTGTTATTGTTGTTGTTGAGGATGATGATGATGTTGTTGTTAACGGTGTTATTGTTGTTGTTGAGGATGATGATGATGTTGTTGTCAACGGTGTGATTGTTGTTGTTGATGATGATGTTGTCAACGGTGTGATTGTTGTTGTTGTTGTTGCTGTTGTTGATGATGATGATGTTGTTGTCAACGGTGTGATTGTTGTTGTTGAGGATGATGATGTTGTTGATGATGATGTTGTCAACGGTGTTATTGTTGTTGTTGAGGATGATGATGTTGTTGATGATGTTGTTGTCAACGGTGTTGTTATTGTTGTTGTTGTTTCTGTGCGGTCCTCCGTCCTCCGCAGGAACACAATATGGCTCGGCACGCGGCCGTTCCACGGCTGCTCAGCCTCACCTCGTCACCCCTCCTCCTCATCCTCCTCCTCCTTCTAACGTCATCAGCAACCTCCTCCTCCACCACCTCCTCGCCACCACCATCGTCGCCACCACCATCGTCGCCACCGCCATCGTCGCCACCACCATCGTCGCCACCGCCACCACCATCGTCGCCACCGCCACCACCACCACCATCGTCAGCTCCGGCAACGCCTCTCCCCAGCAGCCCGGCTAATCCGGCCTCGTCGACCGCGCAAGCCGACCCCGGCGCGGCCGCCGTGAATTCTACCGCGGGCGGGAATGTCACGGCGATGCCGGCCGGCGCCGAACCGGTGCTGAATCCTACGGCAACGGCGCCTTCGGCAAGTCCTCCCGCCGGCGCCGACGCTACGACGGTGACGCCGGCCGTCAACGCGAGCTCCACGGCGAGCTCCTCCGGCACCGCCCCCACCACCGGCACCGCTACCGGCACCAACGCCACCACCGCTACCGGCACCACCGCCACCACCGCTACCGGCACCAACGCCACCACCGCCACCGCCGCCACCACCGGCACCGCTACCGGCACCAACGCCACCACCGCTACCGCCACCAATGCCACCACCGGCACCAACACCACCACCGGCACCGCTACCGGCACCAACGCCACCACCGGCACCAACGCCACCACCGGCACCAACACCACCACCGGCACCACCGGCACCAACGCCACCGCCACCACCGCCGCCACCACCGCCACCGGCACCAACGCCACCACCGGCACCAACGCCACCACCGCCACCGGCACGAATGCCACCGCCACTGCCACCACCGCCGCCACCACCGGCACCAACACCACCGGCACCACCGCCACCGGCACGAACGCCACCGCCACCACCGGCACCACCGGCACCGCCGGCAGCACCGCCACCGGCACGACGTGGCCCACCACGGTGAAGAGCGGCACGGCGAGCGGCGAGGAGCTTCCCGGTGAGACACGGCGCCGGGGGGTTCTTGGCGATCGGTGTCGTGGAACCCACCGGTGCGCTGACCCAGCGGTGTGGGGGTAGCGACGCGTCCCGCCTGGTAGACGCTCACGCAAACCGGCGTTGTTCAAGCTCTTTCTGTTCCATTTCTTTTCAAACCAAAAATCCACGGCAATCTTCGTTTGATTGCCGCGGGGTGCGCGTGGCTGACCGTGGCGTGCGGTCTGTTTGGCGTTCCCGGATATTAATTTGGTTATTTTTTGGTGAATTCACGGGAGGTATGAAATGAAGTGAAATTTGTCAGATAAGGTGGTGAGGAACGCCCCTGTTCACGTGGTTTTTTTTTGCAGAGCTTTTTCCATCCCCCACAAGCGACTTTGTTAACAGATGAAAATGCGAAATTTTTCGTTTTTATTTCGTGAGTAGGTGTAAGGGTCCTCACCGCGCTACGCCACGGCTCTGTTTGCAGAAACGTCCTGGGGACACCACAAATGCACAAAACCGTGGCGACCCACACGGTTTAGCCCGCAATTCTTGTACAGGGGAAATTGAGTTGAGCAATACAGTCTGAATTGGACTGTAATAAGGGGTTGACAGGTTTGTTATACACTACAACACTATACACTACACTATACTACTACACTACTATACACTACACTATACACTACACTATACACTACACTATGCACTACTATACACTACACTATACACTACACTATACACTACACTATACACTACTATACACTACAACACTATACACTACACTATACACTACTATACACTACACTACTATACACTACATTACTATACACTATACACTACTATACACTACACTATACACTACACTACACTATAGGTACAGTAAATGTTAATTAATGCGTTGATTTAACCGTGTTTCTCTGAACGGTATGTGTTTATAATGTTGGTATCTTTACGTATTAATATCCATTGTGTTTAAATATTATGAAAGTACATTTTTCGCGGTGAAAAAGGGGGTAACTTTCGACGCTGTATTTCTGTATTCGCTTAACGAACATTCCCCTGTTAACCACGGGCTTTTACAGGTGCGGTAAGTATTCATTAATGCGTTGATATAGCCGCGTTTTCCTTAGCAGTATGCGTTTATAATGTTGTTGGTATCTTTATGGATTCATATCCAATGTTTATAAATATTAGAAAAGTACGTTTTGGGTGAAAAAGGGGTAACTTTCGACGCTGTTGGAATGAATTACGCCTTTATCGCGTATTTTCTAGACTCGCTTAACCACCCAAAGTCTCTGAACGACCGGTTTAGTGGAAACCAATTACCATCGCGAAGATGAGGTTGTCACTGTACACAGCAGGCATCAGGGTCAGGATCGAACCCACGACCTGCTGCGTACCAGGCGAGGTAGTCAACATCTCATAGCCACCGTGATGATGATGATGAGAGAGACGCAGACTCCAAATTTACAGCAGCAGCAGGCATCGTCAGGGGTCGGGATCGAACCCACGACCTCCTGCGTACCAGGCAAAGTAGTCAACATCTCCTAGCCACCGTGATGATGATGATGATGAGAAAGAGACGCAGACTCTAAATTTACAGCAGCAGCAGCAGGCGTCGTCAGGATCGGGATCGAACCCACGACCTCCTGCGTACCAGGCGAGGTCGTCAACATCTCATAGCCACCGTGATGATGATGATGATGATGAGAAAGAGACGCAGACTCCAAATATACAGCAGCAGGCGTCAGGGTCGGGATAGAACCCACGACCTCCTGCGTACCAGGCGAGGTCGTCAACATCTCATAGCCAACATGATGATGATGATGAGAAAGAGACGCAGAATCCAAATTTACAGCAGCAGCAGCAGCAGGCGTCGTCAGGGTCTGGGATCGAACCCACGACCTCCTGCACACCAGGCGAGGTAGTCAACATCTCCCTAGCCACTGCCGCTAAGTTTTTAAAACTCCACTCCCGCCCCTCCCCCCTTCCCGCGCTCAGTGATGCCCAGGGACGTCGCCTCGCTGCGTGGGGCGCTGGGCGTCACGCTGGGGGTGCTGTTGGGCGTGGCCGTGCTCGCCGCTGTGGCTTGCTACGTGCGCGGGACGAGGCGCAAGCACGCGGTGCGCTTCCGCCACCGCCGCCTCTACGACAGCGCGGAAGAGCCCGGTAACGGCGTCACACCGCATGCGTCACACCGCATACGTCACAATGCATACGTCACACCGCGTGAGTCAGGCCGCGTGCGTCACGACGCGTGCGTCACAACGCGTGCGTCACGCCGCATGCGTCACAACGCGTGCGTCACAACGCGTGCGTCACACCGCTTGCGTCACAACGCATGCGTCACAACGCATATGTCACACCGCTTGCGCCACAACGCATGCGTCACACCGCATGCGTCACGCCGCATGCGTCACACCGCATGCGTCACACCGCATGCGTCACGCCGCATGCGTCACGCCGCATTCGTCACACCGCATGCGTCACAACGCATGCGTCACACCGCTTGCTTCACAACGCATGCGTCACAATAGGCGCTGGCGTCCGCAGCAGCATCGTGTCGCCGCAGGGGCGGAGCCAGGGGTCTGTCGCCAACCGATGGCGTCCGGCTCAGCAGCCCGGCTCTCTCCATCATTCTTGAACGTCACCCCGGGCTGAAAATCCTGCCTCCGCCCCTGGTGCCGCGCTCATACCCCGCGCTAGCATCATACCGCGCTATGCCAAGACGAGCATCATACCCCCTTTTATACCACACTGGCATCGTACCGCGTTATACCCGGGGCGAGCGTCATACGGCGCTATCATGATACCGCGCTAAGCCGCGCGAGCGTCATACCGTGCTAAGCCGCGCGAGCGTCATACCACACTAAGCCGCGCGAGCGTCATACCGCGCTAGGCCGCGCGAGCATCATACCACATTGCTCCCCCCCCGCGTGTTCATCTGATCCTGCTTGTGATGTCGCGGCCAACGCAATGGCCCATCCCGAGGGCAGCACGGGGCAGCGTCATACCACACGCCTGCACTGTGCCCTCACCACACCTGAGCTAGCGTCATACCACATGCCTGCACCGTGCCCTCACCACGCCTGAGCTAGCGTCATACCACACGCCTGCACCGTGCCCCCACCACGCCCGAGCTAGCGTCATACCACACGCCTGCATCGTCCCCTCACCAAACCTGGTGCATCAGGCAGTCATCTCGGTCATCTCAGTCAGTCGACCCGTGGCACCTGCTGGGTCTGCCCCGTGACCTCCTGCCAGCGGGCGTTCGACGCTTCACGTGGCCTCAAGGTGCACATGGCCTGGCACAAGCGTCGTGGTGACGTCACCGCCACTTAGTGGCGAATGGCGGTTGTTGTTGTGTGTTGATGTGTGTGTTGATGTGTTGGTGTGTGTGTTGGTGTGTGTGTTGATGTGTGTGTGTGTTGATGTGTGTGTGTGTTGATGTGTGTGTGTGTTGATGTGTGTGTTGATGTGTGTGTTGATGTGTGTGTTGATGTGTTTGTTTATGTGTGCGTGTGTGTGTTGATGTGTTGATGTGTGCGTTGATGTGTTGATGTGTTTGTTGATGTGTTGATGTGTTTGTTGATGTGTGTGTTGATGTGTTGATGTGTGTGTTGATGTGTTGATGTGTTTGTTGATGTGTGCGTTTGTGCGTTGATGTGTTGATGTGTTTCTTGATGTGTGCGTTGATGTGTTGATGTGTGTGTTGATGTGTGTGTTGATGTGTGTGTTGATGTGTGTGTTGATGTGTTGATGTGTGTGTTGATGTGTGCGTTGATGTGTGTGTTGATGTGTTTGTTGATGTGTTGATGTGTGTGTTGATGTGTTGATGTATGTGTTGGTGTGTTGATGTGTGTTGATGTGTGTGTTGATGTGTGTGTTGATGTGTGTGTTGATGTGTGTGTTGATGTGTGTGTGTTGATGTGTGTGTGTTGATGTGTGTGTGTTGATGTGTGTGTGTTGGTGTGTTGATGTGTGTGTTGGTGTGTTGATGTGTGTGTTGGTGTGTTGATGTGTGTGTTGGTGTGTTGATGTGTGTGTTGATGTGTGTTTAACTCGTGGTTTCGTGGTAATTAATTGAAGGTGAAGGGGTTACCAGCCCCTCGCACCCGTCCAGAGCCCTCGTTTAGCCCCTGTGGTGGACACATATGCCATGATGGGGAGGAGCCAATCAAAATTGGATCTCCCCCCACAGCACTGTCCACGACAGAGTTGCCCGTCCGGCACCGTGAGGAGGTAGGGGGTTAAATTTTGATGATGACCGTTTGAGTTATGGTCGAAACGTCGTGAGAATTTTTTATTGTTTTATATATATTTTGTTATTTTGTTGTTTCTCTTCAACGTGACTTTACCGAAAAAACTAAGAATATGAGGTAGGGGGTTGTTTTGCCTTCCCATCAACCGGAGGCGAGGAATGGTGGTCGTGGTTACTTATGCCCCACCGAAGATGAACATCAGTGGAGGGATGCAGGCAAAGCCGATGAGTCAGATGCCTTCTATGACCTCCTGTCACAGGTGCTGGCTAAAGTGGCCCCTCGGGATAGAGTCATCATGTTGGGTGACTTCAATGCCCGAGTTGGTCATGATACTGGCACCTGGTCTGGAGTGATTGGAGGGCATGGGCCAGATCAGCTCAATAACAACGGTAGGAGGCTGGTAGATTTTTGTGCAGCCCATGGGCTTGTAATTACCAACACGCTGTTCCGGCATCGGCGCATCCACACAACATCATGGATGCATGCCGGGTCCAAGCAAGAACATCTGCTGGACTACATAGTGACGGACCAGCGAATGCGAGCCCATGTCCTTGACACCAGGACCTACCGTGGAGCTGATCTGCCCTCTGACCATCGACTAGTCATCTGTAAGATGCGCCTGCCATTCTTCCACTCCGGTGGTGGGTGTACACCCAGGACCCCATTCCGACCTAAAGTGGCCTGGTCTCAGTTATCTGATGAAAGTTGCAAGCGAGAATTTCATCATCGCTTGCGGCTGGGATTGGCATCGTCCCCGACTCCTCCTGATATCGAGGGAAAATGGGCGAGGTTTAGGACTGTGACTCATGCAGCTGCAATGGCTGCTTTAGGTACGCGGTCCAGACCTCCCCAGAGACCCTGGCTGACAGAGGAGGTGTTCAGGATGGTTGAGAAAAAGCGACAGGCCCACTGTCATCGGCTACAGAATCCCACGTCAGAGAATGAGGAGGCTTACCGCAGCCTTCGCTCGAAGGTTCGGAGAGCCGTGAGGCACTGCAAGGATGGGTGGTGGTCGCGGGTTGCTGAGGAGATGGAGTCTGCCTCAGTGCCCCATGATCACAAATCTCTATTTAACTCCATCAAAAAAGTAACCTGCAGCGCCACACCTATTATCATCATTAGGGGAAAAAACGGTGATCCAATCTCCGACCCCCAGGAACAGGTTTGCAGATTTGCTGAGCATTTCTGTGAGGTCCTGGGGGAGGGAAAATCCCTCAGCCAGGAAAACATCGTGACACAAAGTGAGGATGACCCTGCTGAGGCTGCGGTGCCTCAAATATTGGAAGAAGTCACCCCCTGTGAGTGGCTGGCTGAGGTGCCATCTGCTGAGGAAGTACTGAAGGCGATCCGGAGTCTGAGACCAGGAAAGGCAGCGGGCAGAGATGATCTCCCAAGCGAAATGCTGAGGGAGGGTGGCGTTTGTGCACAGACTGCCCTATATGACATCATAACAACAGTCTGGACCACTGGACGGGTTCCGCAGGATTTGAAGGATGCCCTGGTGGTCCCCCTTTTTAAGAAGGGGGACCGCACAGACTGTAACAACTACAGGGGCATCTCACTCCTCAGTGTGCCGGGAAAGGTCCTGGCAAGGATTATTCAGCATCGCCTTGCCAGGCACGCTGAGGAGAGGCTTGCGGAGCCCCAATGCGATTTCAGGAAAGGGCGGTCCTGCACAGATGCCATATTTTCTGTCCGTCTACTACAGCAGAGGTGTAGGGAATTCCAAGAAGACCTACATCTCTGCTTTATTGACCTGGTCAAGGCCTATGATACCATCAGTAGGCCTGGGCTCTGGGTCGTTCTTCGTGCTTTTGGAGTACCTGACCCTCTGCTCACGATCATTAAGGACCTTCATGATGGTGAGCAGGCCCGGGTAAAACTACGTGGCTGGGAGTCAGAGCCATTCCCTGTACACCTTGGGGTGCGACAGGGATGTCCTCTGGCTCCCACATTATTTAACATCTATTTTGACCACGTAGTTCGTGAAGCCTTCAATAGCTGTACCGGGGGAATCTCCATATGGTACAGATATAATGGGAGGCTAATCGATGCCCGGGTGCGGTCAAGGGATGGCTCCCTATTGCTCAACCACGTTATGTATGCTGATGATTTGGTAATAGCTGCTCAGTCAGAGGAGGAGTTGGAGACGCTGCTGCTGAGACTGGAGCGTGCCACTAAGAGGTGGGGCCTTACCATCAGCCCCACCAAAACTAAGCACCTGCCTGGGTATTTTGTACCATCGGACACTCCACCCCCACAACTCCCAATCGGTGATGGGGCAGTTGTGGAGAGAGTGGAGAGTTTCCCATACCTGGGCAGTGTGCTTATGACTGGCTCCAGTTTAACAGCAGAGGTCTCACTCCGAATCAGTCGAGCGGCATTATCTTTTCATCGGTTGCGTAACGCTGTGTGGAAGCGACCTGGTCTGTCGCGCCGCACTAAGCTTCAGGTCTTCTCGGCCACGGTCATTCCCTCCCTTCTCTACGCTTGCGAAACGTGGACCCCCCTAATGGAACATCTTCGCCGGTTAGAAACATTTTGGCTGGCCTGCCTACGATCCATCCTGGGTTTAACCAGACTGGATTGTGTGAGGAGCTCACAAATCCTTGAAAGATCTGGGCAAGGTCCCATCGGTGAGCTCCTCCGGCGGGCAAGGCTGCGATGGCTGGGTCATGTAGCCCGCATGCCCAGCAACCGCATGCCGAAACAGCTTTTGTTCGGCCGGATTGAGGGGGCTAAGCGGGCACGGCACGGGCTAGAGAAGAGATGGAGTGATGTGGTACAGGAGGACGTGGAGCTGAGTGGACTTAGCCGATGACTGGTACCAGCGGTGTCAAGATCGGCCTCTGTGGAGGAGGCTCGTGAAGGACGCTACTGGGCAGTTGGAGGCAGTCGCCCTCCAACAACAACGGAGGGCAGAGGAGCGACGCTCAGAACAACGAGCGGAGCGCCAGGTGGCTAAAGCACAGCAGGTTGGCACAGTAGGGGGCACAGGTGGTGCATCAGCCAGTCATCTTAGTCAGTCGACCCGTGGCACCTGGGTCTGCCCCGTGACCTCCTACCAGCGGGCGTTCGACACTTCACGTGGCCTCAGGGTGCACATAGCCTGGCACAAGCGTCGTGGTGACGTCACCGCCACTTAGTGGTGAATGGCGGTTGTTGTTGTTGATGTGTGTGTGTTGATGTGTGTGTGTGTTGATATGTGTGTGTGTGTTGATGTGTGTGTTGATGTGTTGATGTGTGTGTGTTGATGTGTGTGTGTGTTGATGTGTGTGTGTTGATGTGTGTGTGTTGATGTATTGATGTGTGTGTGTTGATGTGTATGTTGATGTGTATGTTGATGTGTGTGTTGATGTGTGTGTTGATGTGTTTGTTGGTGTGGCAGAGCTCCGGCTGGACGAGATGTCGCCCACGGCGTTCTACAACGCCAGTGCCGACTCCATGGACTTCTCTCCCTCGCCGGGATCCAGCCACGTTTGAGCGGCAACAGCGGCGGTGGCGGCGTCACGATGGCCGCCCACTTCGTCGCCCACCCGCCCACCTCGTCGCCCGGCTGCCTCAGCGACCCGGCCACCCCGTCGCCCGCTCTCCCACCTCGTCGTCCACTCTCCCACCTCGTCGCCAACTCTCCCACCTCGCCGCCCGCTCTCCCACCGCGTCGCCAGCTCTCCCACCGCGTCGCCAGCTCTCCCACCTCGTCGCCGGCTCTCCCACCTCGTCGCTAGCTCTCCCACCTCGTCGACCGCTCTCCCACCTCGTCGCCCGCTCTCCCACCTGGTCACCAACTCTCCCACCTCGTCGCCCGCTCTCGCACCGCGTCGCCAGCTCTCCCACCTCGTCGCCCACCAACCTCCGCCCCCTCCTCACCCTCCCCCCTCCTCCCACCCCTGCCGAGGCTGAGCCTTCCCGAGCCTCCACATTCTCTCTCCCGCCGCCGCCACCACCGTCACCTCCCGCCATCGCTAAACCCACACCCACTGTGGAACTGCTACCCAGCGAAAATCTACAAAGCCCTCCCCACGACGCTCAGAGAGCCCCTGCTGGACATTTGTGCAAACAAGAGCTTTGGAGCTTATCGGATTCCTCCTGCGAGTATAAAATACAAGATTCTGATTCTGAGTTGCAGCAGCAGTAGCAGCAGCAGTGTTGTCACATCGCCCATCTCACTCCTGTGAACAACAGTGGGCAGGACCCTGTGTGTGGATTTTAAAAAAAGATATATTTTCGTTTTAATCCCGGAGAAGAGACGCAATAATTATTATTTATTATAAATCTGCCCGGCTGGACGCGGAGGTCGCGCTCGGAGATGGCCGGTAGAGCGGTGGGCGGTGAGCGGTGAGCAGGGGGTGGGAGTGGGGAGTGGGGAGCGGTGCGCGGTGAGCGGGGGACGGTGAGCGGTGAGCGGGGGGGCGGTGGGCGGTGAGTGGTGAGCGGTGAGCGGTGAGCGGTGAGCGGTGAGCAGGGGGCGGTGAGCGGTGAGTGGTGAGCGGGGGGCTGGGGGCGGTGGGCGGTGAGCGGTGCGTGGTGAGCGGGGGGCGGTGAGCGGTGAGTGGTGAGTGGGGGGCTGGGGGCGGTTAGCGGTGAGTGGTGAGCGGAGTCGACGCACCACCAACGTCTCGTGCCGATCTGTGAGGCGACGCACTCCCCCCCATCTCCCTCCCTCTCCATCCCTCCCTCCTCCCTTCCCTCTCAATCCATCTCCCACCCCCCTTCTCCCTCCTTCCCCCCACCCCCCTCTCCATCCCCCTCCCCCTTCCCTCCCCCCCCCTCTCCCTCCTTCCCCCCCACTCTCCCTCCCCCCACACCCTCCCCCCCTCCCTGTCCCTCACCCTCCCCCCTCTCGCTCCCTCCCTCCCCATCCCTCCCCATCCCTACGTCAAACCCGACGGGTAGTCACGTGCTTGCGAGTGTCACTATTTAAGCCGTTAGCCGTTTAGCTTTTTAGTTAAATTGAATTGTGGTGGTGGTCGTGATGGTAGTGGTGGTGTTGGTAGTGGTGTTGGTGGTGGTGGTAGTGGTGGTGGTGTTGGTGGTGGTGGCTGATCGATGCCCGGGTGCAGTCAAGGGATGGCTCCCTATTGGTCAACCACGTTTTGTATGCCGATGACCTGGTAATTGCGGCTAACTCAGAGGAGGAGTTGGAGGCGCTGCTGCTGAAACTGGAGTGTGCCACTCAGAGGTGGGGCCTTACCATCAGCCCCACCAAAACGAAGCACATGCCTGGGTATTTTGTACCATCGGACACTCCACCCCCACAACTACCAATCGGTGATGGGACAGTTGTGGAGAGAGTGGAGAGTTTCCCATACCTGGGCAGTGTGCTCATGACCGGCTCCGGTTTAACAGCAGAGGTCTCACTCCGAATCAGTCGAGTGGCATCTTTTCATCGGTTGCGTAACACTGTGTGGAAGCTACCTGGTCTGTCGCTCCGCACTAAGCTTCAGGTCTTCTCGGCCACGGTTATTCCCTCCCTTCTCTACGCTTGCGAAACGTGGACCCCCCTAACGGAACATCTTCGCCGGTTAGACACATTTAAGCTGGCCTGCCTACGATTAATCCTGGGTTTAACCAGGCTGGATTGTGTGAGGAGCTCACAAATCCTCGAAAGATCTGGACAAAGTCCCATCGGTGAACTCCTCTGGCAGGCAAGGCTGTGTTGGCTGGGCAATGTAGCCCGCATGCCCAGCCACCGCATGCCAAAACAGCTTTTGTTCGGCCGGATCGAGGGGGCTAAACGGGCGCGGCACGGGCTAGAGAAGAGATGGAGTGATGTGGTACAGGAGGACGTGGAGCTGAGTGGACTTGCCGATGACTGGTACCAGCGGTGTCAAGATCGGCCTCTGTGGAGGAGGCTCGTGAAGGACGCTACTGGGCAGTTGGAGGCAGTCGCCCTCCAACAACAACGGAGGGCGGAGGAGCGACGCTCACAACAACGAGCGGAGCGTCGGGTGGCTAAAGCACAGCAAGTTGGCACAGTAGGGGGCACAGTTGGTGCATCAGCCAGTCATCTCAGTCATCTCAGTCAGTCGACCCGTGGCACCTGCTGGGTCTGCCCCGTGACCTCCTGCCAGCGGGCGTTCGACACTTCACGTGGCCTCAAGGTGCACATGGCCTGGCACAAGCGTCGTGGTGACGTCACCGCCAATTAGTGGCGAATGGCGGTTGTTGTTGGTGGTGGTGATGGGGAGCGGTGGCATTGCGGTCAGCGCCATGCTGCTCTACGAACCTGGCGAAGCCGGGTTTGATTCCCGCTCACGGCCGCCACCACCATCACCGGTGACGATTTCTCTGAACCGATTCTGGGACTCCGCCTAGGTCGCCTCAGCCTCAAATGAGTAGCTGGTGTAGCGGTGTGTAGGGAACACTGCCATTGGGGAGAGACAAAAGCGGCCGGGCGTGGTGCTGGCCACCCACCCCCTCGTGTGCTGTGCCGGCCTTCATAGGTGCTCGCTAACAGAACTTGTCCCACCACTCTACCATAGGCTATACGGGGGGATCTTTTGGTGTGTGTGGTAGTGGTGGTGTTGGTGGTGGTTATGGGGAGCGGCAGTGTAGCGGTTAGCGCTACGCTGCGCTATGAACCTGGTGACCCGGGTTCGATTCTCGCTCACGGCCAACACCACCAGTGACGATTATCTGAACCGGTCCCGGGCCTCCCCTAGGTCGCCTCAGCCTCAAATGGGTACTTGGTGCGGTGGATAAAAGCATTGCCACTGGGGAGACAAAGGCAGTCGGGCGTGGTGCTGGCCAACTACCCCCTCGTGTACCGTTCCGGCCTTCGTAGGTGCTCGCTAACAGCACTTGCCCCTACAGTCTGTTAAGGCTATACGGGGGATCTTTGTCTTTGTCTTTGTTGGTGGTGGTAGTGGTGTTGGTGGTGTTGGTGGTGATGCCAGTAGTGGGTACAGCTGGTGGTGCATCTACCGGTCATCTCAGTCAGCCGACCCATGGCACCTGCTGGTTCAACATACGTACGTGCATACGTGTGCAGATGCATTCTAAACATTCTGAACGAGCTGGAGTCTACCCAGCCCCGCGGTGGGATAGGAGATGTTAACTACCTCGCCTGGTGTGCAGGAGGTCGTGGGTTCGATCCAGACTCTGACGCCTGCTGCTATAGATTTGGAGTCTGCGTCTCTCTCATCATCATCACGGTGGCTAGGAGATGTTGACTCCCTCGCCTGGTGTGCAGGAGGTCGTGGGTTCGATCCAGACTCTGACGCCCGCTGCTGTAGATTTTGAGTCTGCGTCTCTCTCTCATCATCATCACGGTGGCTAGGAGATGTTGACTACCTCGCCTGGTGTGCAGGAGGTTATGGGTTCGATCCCGACCCCTGACAACGCCTGCTGCTGCTGTAGATTTTGGAGTCTGTGGATTTATCTCCAAGTCCTCCTCCGGGATTTTTCCCCCCCTCCACATTTAGAATCAACATCGCCACGCGCTTAGAGCGTTCAGCTGCTGCTGTACATGTCCACGTGATGATGATGGTGGTGATATCAGTCACTCGGTTGAGGCTGCTATCATTTGTGATGGCCATGTCACAGCTTCTGAAAGCGATAGTCTACTGCCGCATACCTCAGCGGTGGGGACCTCATACAATACATCTGGCCAGCGTGGAAGAGTAGGCCAAACACCTTCCCGAAAAAAACGGGGCTCTGGAGATAGGGGCCAACTTAGCGGAGGGCGTATTCCGCCAACGGTGACGTGACGCCATTAGATTTTATTTTTTTAAATGCAGTAATTTGATTCCTTGCAAAAAGTTAGTTTTAAAAATCTATTGGGTGTTTGGACATCTGAACACAATTCCGTTTTTATTATGGCCAGAAAGGGTAAAAGCCAATTTTTTTCATACTCTGATACTGGCAAAAATGTGTCCCCGTGATATCGCTGCTCGCCCCGAGCTCTCAAGGCCCCGATGGTGCCTTGCCCTTGTGCTTGTTGGCCTTTTGTCATCGTTCTCTGCTCTGACGCTGCTCGTGGGACTAGGCCCTAATCAAGGCTGCTGTCTCTGATGTAGGCCAATCAGTTTCATAGACAACGCCACGTAACATCGCCATCAGAGCCGCGTTTGTGTTTGAATGTTCACCTCAAGTACCGCGCGCGAGTGTGTGGCGAATGCGGTCACTTGATTCCTTGCGGAAAAGGTTTAATCTGTTGTTATGTTTGAACGTCTTAACACGACACCCGTTTTATTTATTCATCCTACCAGGCCAGGATCGTACCCACGGCTTCCTGTATACCGGTACAAAGTAAAGGATAGGTAAATAAGCAGATGAATCACCATGCGTGCTTTCAATAGGGCCACGTGCCTACACCCGCCACTTACGTCTGAAAAAAGAACTGACGGTTCGAGCCCTGGGTCTAGGTGGGTTTATTTATCAGGGGGGGGGGGGTTCATAATGGCCGTGTCAGAGATACTGAGCCAGTCACTCCTGAGGCCTGGGTTCAAGTGCTGGGTCTCTGTGTGTCTGTCTCTCAGGGGGTTCACAATGGCCGTGTCAGAGTCATTGAGCCAGTCACTCCTGAGGCCTGGGTTCAAGCGCTGGGTCTGTGTGTGTCTCTCAGGGGGGTTCATAATGGCCGTGTCAGAGTCACTGAGCCAGTCAATCTTGAGGCCTGGGTTCAAGCCCTGGGTCTCTGTGTGTGTCTGTCTCTCTCGGGGTTCATAATGGTCGTGTCAGAGTCACTGACCCAGTCACTCCTGAGGCCTGGGTTCAAGCGCTGGGTCTCTGTGTGTCTGTGTCTCTCAGGGGGTTCACAATGGCCGTGTCAGAGTCACTGAGCCAGTCACTCCTGAGGCCTGGGTTCAAATCCTGGGTCTCTGTGTGTGTGTCTGTCTCTCTCAGGGGGTTCATAATAGCCGTGTCAGAGTCACTGACCCAGTCAATCTTGAGTCCTGGGTTCAAGCCCTGGGTCTCTGTGTCTGTGTGTCTCTCAGGGGGGTTCATAATGGCCGTGTCAGAGACACTGAGCCAGTCAATATTGAGGCCTGGGTTCAAGCCCTGGGTCTGTGTGTGTCTTTGTCTCTCTCAGGGTTCATAATGGCTGTGTCAGAATCACTGACCCAGTCACTCCTGAGACCTGGGTTCAAGCCCTGGTTCTGTGTGTGTCTCTCTCAGGGTTCATAATGGCCGTGTCACAGCCACTGACCCAGTCAATCTTGGGGCCTGGGTTCAAGCCCTAGTTCTCTGTGTGTCTGTGTCTCTCTCTCTCAGGGGGGTTCATAATGGCCGTGTCAGAGTCACCGAGACAGCCAAAGCTGAGAACCTGGGTTCGAATCCACACATGCGGTCTTGCCGTTGCCATCGTATGTGTGTGCGTGAGTGTCTCTCTGTGTCTCTGTGTGTGTCTCT